ACCCCCCCCCCCCCCCCCCCCAACGCAGAACACATCTCCTCTTATACACCCTCTGCACAAACCACCCCCATACGGGTTCTCTACAGCCACAGCACAACCATCTTCCAGGTATTTCTCTCCCTCCCCTCCCCTCCCCTCCCCCTCTTTCTGTTGCCAAAACCCAGACCCCAATCATAATGCCCATGATGTGTTTGTTGAAATGCCTAAGAGAACCCACACCCAAACCCCTCAGCCATCACACTCACAGACCCACACAAACAACACACACACATGCAATTTCATCAGTGGATTTGTTTCTTTCTAACTTTAGGTTGTGTTATCTTTTCTTGAAGTAAAAATGGTTGTGGGAAAAACTTTTTTGGTTGCCTATAGAACCTTGCTCTACAACACTACATTCATGAATTACTTTGAATTTAAAGCTAATAGTATTAATTATTCTTGATCCATTGAGCTGTTTTTTTTTTAGAATTGTTTTTCCCTTTTAGGTGTAATGAATTGCGTGATTACAACGGTCACTGAGGTAACAATGTTATTTGCTACTGACCTTTTTTCCTTTAGGTAATGACCATTATTTAACTGACACACATAAGTAGCAGTATTCTACATACATTTCAACTCATGGACAGAGCATAAAGACACCACACATGCACAACACATACACCCAACACAACACAGACTGCAAACACGCAGTTGGCACACACAACCCAACACAACACACGCACAACACAGAGCACGAACACACAGACAACAAGCTCACAAAAACCTCTTCATAGCTACATCACTCTCTCTTTCTTGATGCATGCTAGGTGTTTGAGAGACAAAAAAAATAGAGGGGTTCTCATAGCTTCAAATTCACTAAGGTAATTGATTTTGTGCCAAAGTTTCCCTTTCCCTCCCCTTTCGGTACTGGTGCTCACACAACACTCTTACACTTACATATTTTGTGGGTTTTCAGATGTTTGCAAAAGAGTGAACCTAATCTTCTCTTTTTGTGGTTCTATTTGAATGTTGTGATTTCAGCTAAGTGCTGCCCAAGGAAACTAAATGCAAGAAGTTTAGGGGCTTATTGGTTAGATTTTGCTATTATTTATTTTCCTATGGATATATACTCATTTATTAAGATGTTAGATTTTTTTTAGGATTTTTCATAGCTTTCATAAACTCATTTATTGAAACCTCTAAAGTGTGTGCATTCAAAGGTTTCAAATTTTTATTTTCATAATTTTTTTATTTTCAAACACCCAACACAACACACACACAAAACACAGAGTGCAAACTCGCAGTTGGCACACACAACCCAACACAACACACGCACAGCACAGAGCACGAACACACAAACAACAAGCTCACAAAATCCTCTTCATATCTCCATCACTCTCTCTTTCTTGATGCATGCTAGGTGTTCGAGAGACAAAAAAAATAGAGGGGTTCTTCAAATTCACTAAGGTAATTGATTTTGTGCCAAATTTCCCCTTTACCTCCCCCTTCGGTACTGGTGCTCACACAACACTCACACACTTACGTATTTTGTGGGTTTTCAGATGTTTGCAAAAGAGTGAACCTAGTCTTCTCTTTTTGTGGTTCTATTTGAATGTTGTGATTTCAGCTAAGTGTTGCCCAAGCAAACTAATGCAAGAAGTTTAAGGGCTTATGGTGAGACTTTGCTATTCTTTATTTTCCTATGGATATATACTCATTTATTGAGATGTTAGATTTTTTTTAGGATTTTCATAGCTTTCATAAACTCATTTATTGAAACCTCTAAAAGTGTGTCCATTCAAAGGTTTCAAATTTTTATTTTCAAAAAATTCGAATGGTGATTCCATTATTATGTGATGGTGGTGAAGAATGGATAATATTGGAGAAAGGTGTTGATTGATCTCCTCATAACTACTTTCTTGAGTTTGTTGTCATTAGTTATCAAATGATCAAGTCCTTGGTAGTAACGCCTCCACCTTTTACCTTTTATGCATACTATGTGGTTGACAAAATGTAAATGAGAAGAAATATGATTCTCGACAAAGGTTGAAACTAGAAACTAGAAACCAACGCCTTGCATTCTAGGTTGTCAATGAAATGTCTGAGTGAAGAAAAAAATTCCATTTTTCATTTTCTGGGTTTTAATGTTTTTTGCTTCCTTATTTTTGCACAATAGACACTCACATGATTTATGCATGTTGTGTATAAAACATGGGCTGCGATAATATTATTCTTACTCCAATAATTGTTGGGTTGCCCGTCAAAGACTCAAACATTGAAACCCGTAAGTAACCATACTTTTTGATCTTGATCAAAAAAAAAAAAAAACTTACTCTTTGATATGATTTGTCAATGTGGGTTTGAAATTAATTTGTTTTGGGTGGTTGAATATGTTGGGCTTCAAAGTGCATGTGAGCGTGTATTCTAAATTAGTGTGAATCTTTATTTTTCAGTTTTTTTTTTGTTTCTAAACATCAAAGAAACTTGCAACTGGTATGGTAACTTTGAATGACTTTGGCCATTCACTGGGAGTCTTAAAACCAAATGAAGATCATACTTTGATTATGGAAGGAATTGTATTTCAGTTGATGAGTTGAGAAGTCGTATTCGTGGGTGAGATTTCCTTATGCTTGGCTTTTCGCATTACAAGTTTTTAATATCAAGTAGGAATAGAATGTTTCATGAAATAATTATGTCATAAGATTGTCTTTATACTTGAAAGTGCATATACCTATTGTGTACATTAGAAAAGTTTTGGCTGCTTGGAATATATTGCAAATACTACTTTCTACAGTTGCTATACCTTACTTTGATCATTCTTTGTTGATATCTTATTGATTTAGTTTTGATTCTCTAGCATAGTGTTTTTCTACTATATTTGAATTTTGATAAAAATTAGTTTTTTTAGATGTACTTTGTTGTATTAAATGGTGAGCTTTGCAGTAACACTTGGTGGTTTTGTTGCATTTGGTTTTGTGTATAAGCATTATCTTGCATTTAACGAGCTTATTTATATT